GGGAGCGGGGCCTGCTTACAGGCGCTCCGCCAGCTGTCGCCGGGCGCTCGGGCCTTGGGGAGCCGTGTCCGCCCGTGGGGGCACCGCCGTGGGGTCACCGCTGTGGGATCGTCTGTGCCACCTGCCAGCAGACTCCGGTCGGCATGGGAGCCTGCCCCGAGGGTCGGAGGGAGGGTGTCCGGGTCCCCGGGATGCCCAGCCTTGAAAAATGAGTTGAGCTTGTGAGCGGGGTGAGGCTAATGACGGTCATTTACTTTTCGACAGGGTAGGGTATGGCTCTTTATTGCTCTAAGGTGGCTCATGTCTCAAGGTTTTCTTCAAAAGCACATAGGTGTCTTTTTAACGGATGAACGTGTAACTTGAATAGAAGCTGGGAGAGCTGGTGGCAAGACACACAACTTGACGAACTGCAGGTGACTTGAACACTCCAACTGATGAAATCAAGAAGATTGTAGCTTCTGAAAGTTGAAAGGTATGAGGCCTTAGCTCAAGGAGCATGCTTAAAGCTTAGGAAACCCCTGCCAATTGCAATTTTACTCTTAAGTGCCTGAATGCCAAGGTTGCAAAGACAAGTTCAACTGTCCAGACTCTCACCAGAGCAAGCTTTATGTTCCCAATTATGCATATATTGTTAATTTAATGCTTTGAAATACCTGCATGTTTCCCTCTTTCTTTCCTGCCTGCCAACCAAGAATGAGCCACAAGACAGTCTTCTGCTTAGTCTAAGAATGCACCTTGAAATGGGCTGTCTTGACATGGCACAGTCCTACAAGATGTTTTCCTCCTTGTCCAACAGACTACTGAGCCTTCATTGTGTACCAGGATGTCAGGGCCTGTGCTTGGCTCTAGGAGCTACGTTATGCAGAAGCTAAGCCTGTGTTAATAGGAAATATGCCAGCACTGTAGATTTGCTCTGTTTGACTTCAGGGGTTGTGTAGTTAAATGGATGCATCTTGTCCACCAGAAATTTAAATACTATTTTCAATTTAACCACAAATTACTCTGTGTGGGCCTTTGCTTACAGAGGAAGTAATGAGGCTTCCTGCCTGACTTCTGGAATTGGGGTTCAAGTAGCCAGAAGCAAAAGTAACAAATTGTAAGAGTGTGCATGAAATTATAAACCGGATGCCTGCTTTGGTTTTTTTTTCTGTTCCTCATGTTTCCAGAGCCAAACACTGCAGGTCAGGAAAACCATTCAGTCCAGAGTCTGAGTTTTGGTTTTCTATTATTATAGATGTTTTTTAGAAGATGGTACCTGAAGCAAAGTGATATGGCCATGCCTACTCAAACAATTAATTTATTTTAATATACCCCTTGTGACAAGACTGTTGTGACCCTCAGAGAGCCTTGGCAATTGTTTGCTCTTTATTCAACCTCATTACCCAAACATCAATTCTAATGCCTTTGGCAATGCCATTAAAGAGTGTTAACCTGTAAGTGATATTTCTAAAATACAAGCTTAGCCAGTGACTAGAGTATCTAAGATCATACCTGAGTAGATATGAGTGCCTTGTCTGAATGGCAACACTTGATACTAGGAGAGGAATGAAACCCTTTGTTAACATTGCAGTCAGTGAGTGGTGATCAAACTACACATTTTCAGAGAATGATTCACAGGTAACTGGAAATAGCATTTAAAGGATTTCTTCTGGTAGCTTTACATGTGTTAGTCCTCACAGTTTTCATACAAATAAAAGCATAGTGTGAATGCAGGTAGATTGAAGCTCTACCTTGTGGAAGCATTTATTTCTTAGCTAAAACAATTCATGGAAGAGAATCTATTTGAGACTTCTTGACATGGAAAAAAAAAAACAAAACCAAACCCAGAAACATCTCAGGTAAAAGAAGTCCTTTAGGACTTCTAACAGTGAAAAGGTATTGGTCAGCGTGAACACATTGATGGTAATGGTATAAACAGGGAAATGTCTAGAAACCCAACAAAACAGGATATTTTCATGATCAGTAAAGCACAAACTAGGCAAATACATGACAAAATGAGTTTAGTTTAAGACTGATCATAATACAGTGGTTACAAACAGCAATTTGAGCACTAGTGTTTCCAATACTTGCTTGGTTCCTTTTCAGAGCAATAGATCTATATTTATCCTGTAGGCCTATGTAGACTGGTTGCATCAGAGGGTGCTGAGAGAGCCTGTTGATACCATTGCGAGGCTACTCCCTCTCTATTACTTTTGCAAGATCAGGGTGAGCAGGTAAGTCCCCTACTACTGGAGAATGGTAAATATTTCAGCCATCTTTGGAAACATCAAGAAAGAAAATTCAGGGAACTACAGTCCCACTTTGGTCCCTGAAAAAATCATGGAGCAAATCCATCCATGACATTTCTGAAAACATGAAGAAGAACATGTCTTACCAAAGGTAAATCAGGGTGGACCAACCTGGTCGTCTTCTGTGATTAAATGCCTGGTTTTGTGGATGTGAGAAATGTGGTGGATGTTGTGTATTTAGACTTCAGCCATGCTTTTGATGCAGTCTCCCAAAATATTATTCTCCCACACTAGGACATTATGGCCTGAATAGATGAACTACTGGATGGATGAATTATTGGCTGCATTATTGGTCTGAAAGAGTATTGGTTAATGGGTCATATTCTGTCTGAATACTAGTAACAGCATGAAGTTCTTCAACAATATTCCTGGGACCTGTTTAATATCTTTGTCAATGACTTGGACATGCAGAAATAAGTCTGTGGACAACACCAAACTGGGAGTGAAGTCTATGTGCTTGAGGACAGGGCTGTCATTAGGAGAGACCTATGCAGGCAGTTGGAATAAAATCCAGGAAGTAGAAAGTCCTGAAACAGACTTAACTTCCTGCAACAGTACAGACTGGGGTGTGACCAACTAGCTGGAAACCATATCTGTAGAAAACAATTTGTGAATTCTTGCTAAACGTGAGTCACCAGTGTGCGCTGGCACTGATGAGAATTAACAGTATCTTGCAGTGTATTAACAGTACATTGGGGGACATGACTGTTCCTCTTTATGTGGTATGATGTGCAGAAACAACTTGTTAGAATGAGTCTAGCATAGTGTGTCCAGTTTTGGTTCAATATGAGAAAGATACTGATAAACTTGATCAAGTCCAACAGGAGGCCACCAAGATGGTAGTGGGTCTGAAGAACACATCCTGCAAGGAGAAGCTGAATGAAGTGGAATAGTTCAGCCTGGAAAAGAGATGCCTTCAACACCTACAAGGGTGTCACCTAGAAAAAGCAGAGCCAGACTCTTTAGTGAGGCAAATGGTAGGAGAATGAAAGACAGTGGTCATAAAGTGAACCAGGGAAGATTCAGATGGGACAGAAAGGATTAAAAATATCACTATGAGGATAGTTAAACTTTGGAAGAGCTTTCTTAGAGAGGTGCATTGTGCGTCTTTGGAGGTTTTCAAAACCAGGCTGGACAAAGCCCTGCTTTAAGGAAGAGCTTGTACTAAAGACCTCTTGATGTCCCTTCCTTAAATGTTTCTGTATTTCTGGGATTAACTGTCAAGCAGAGAAATCAAAATTGTCCAGGAAAATCTAGATTAACAGAAGAAAGAGTATCTAAAACAGATGAATCATCTTGGGAAGACCGAGCAACTTTCTAAAAGTGCATCGTTGCCTTTTAGATCATGTGTGAATAGGCTGATCTGGGTAACTAAACTTTGTCAGTGAACTGTTGACTGCTTTCTCCATGCTTCATCTCTCACCTCGGCTGCTACTAGCTCCCAGTAGGCCCTCAACAATTACTGCCACTCCTAGTACCTGTTAGTTACAACTGAAACTCAGACCATTTCTAATCACCATCTTTCACATTCAGCCCTTCTTAGTCATAAATCTTCAGTCAGCACTGGATTCATTTAGATTTCTTAATTCAGGTTCAAATGGCAGGTAGCAAGAAAACACTGTAGTCGTAACCAAAGATCTCAGAGCTGCAGTCTAAACATCTTGCAGCCCAAAACTAAACCCAAAACTAAACCAAAATGGGAAGTATCTACAAGATTCAGGCATTAGCAGCACAAAATGATCACTTCAGAACACATGCTATACATACATTTATATACATACAGATATATATGTAAAATCCTATGTTTTGACATCTCCTTTTTTACACTTTTTCCTTTTACACCTCTAGTTTTCTTTTCTGTATATCCACATACACATATGTACCACATTCCCTTAAAATGCATGTATGTTACAGGCCTGCGTTGTATTACATTAGTCTGCACTTGAAACTTTGCACTGAGTATAAAACAGTCCTCATCACCAACTTCTGCAAAGTTAGCACACATTTAATTTAAAGTTTCAGTTCCTGAAGATGCAAGATCCAAGTTCTTGTTCATTCAAGTATATCCAGATTTATTTTACAAACTTGCAGACCATGTAGGTTTCCAGAAATGCTTAGACAATGTAACTGTGCTTCAGGTTTTTCATAAAACCAGAATTATATACAAGTGCTGTTCTAGCATTGTCAGTCATAATATTTTGGCAATTAGAATAGGTTTTAAAGTCTTAGGGAGACACCACTGACATTTCTGACTGACTTTGTGGTGTTTCCAGCCCCATAAGCCTCCATTCTCCTGCTAATTACCCGAGAAGACTCTTAACAATTAAGAGATGGTGCACAGCATTTTATGAGAGTATTGCAGAGTAGATGAGGTTGGAAGGAACCTTTAGAGATTGCCCAGGACAGTCTCCCTGCTTAAAGGAGGATCAGTTAGAGCAGTCTGTCTTGCTTCTGCTATTTATCACAGGATCAAAGACTGCCATTCTTACAATGTAGATTCTGTGTGAACATCCTGATGTTGATCCCTATGATGACTGAATCATAACTTCATTCTTGTTCAGGAACTACTGGGAGCCAATCTTCTGAATGTCACTTTTACCACAAGTAAATTCTGACTTCAGAGATGTAGTCTATTAATCATCCTATACAGGAGAAGTTATGA